CAGGAAAGTGGCAGGTTGTGTGAGGTAGAGCGGGGGGAGGGGGAGTGATCAGATTACAGCTTCTGTACTGCTGTGCTTGATAACAGCCTGTTAATATTTTATCAGTGATCACCACATAGCATGCAGCAGCGAGCCACCACATCCGGGGAAAAGAAAGAGATAATTTGCTGGACTTCTTGTTTAAGTCTTCCCCCCCAACTCCCATCAAGATAACAGAATTTCTCATCAAAGTTAGGAGCCACCTGGGAAGGGAGACCAGGCTAGGTGAAGGCCAGGCTTCAGCCAGCTGAGGAGAAGCACAGACACTTCCCAGCCTGGGGCCTCTATTTCTCAGTGGGCAGCTGAAGGCATGAAAAAATCACCTGTCCATAGCCCTGGGCTGAGTGGGAAGAAATTGTTGACTCTGCAAGGCCTCATTTGCCTTCCTTTACAACTGTGCCCCTTTTTCCCACACCTGTGTTTCTCCTCTGGTCCAGAGCCAAAAGGTCTCAGGTTACTTGGATTGTCACTATCTCTGCTGCCATCAGCAGTACCATAGATGTGCCCAAGAGAAGGAACTGAGAGAGAAGAGGCTGAGCCCGAGTCACTCTCTGCATTAGAGCTGTTTGGGGGTGTTGTGAGGTAAACTCAAAGGTGTTCTGGGTTAGTTGAGTAGTGTCTCCCTGTTTCTTCCTTAGCACTGCACTCCACCCTATTTCTCATTTCCCATGGGCCTTCAGCTAGAGAAACAGTTTCTTTTCATCATTCTTCCCCCAGAAGCTCAAATAGTGCTAGAGCCTCATTTTATATTAATTGGGACTTGAGGGGACTTACATAACTTTTTAAACTAGCCCCTGACATCCCAATTTATGGCACTTTCCCCTGCTCATAGGACAGACTATATTATGCCTTAGACCACACTTTGATGTGCATGACTTATCTTTCTTTATTCACCTTTGTAGCCCTTAAAGCAGACATTGCCTGACACAGACTAAGAGTGCAGTTGGTGTGGGCTGGATGGCTAGAGAATTGGTTGAATGGTTAACTGACTGGGTAAAGGTCTCACAGAAAGTTGGAACTTGCCTTCCCATGAAGAAGCCAGTTTTAGCTTCCACCTTCCCATTAATTATCACATAGCAGTGGGTCACCAGGGCCCCAAGGAGGGGGAACATGAGTCAACATATTATCAGAGGAATGAGGGAGGGCAGAAACATCTCTCCTTGTGCAAGGGTCAGAGCCCTGAGTCTGAAACATAAACACAACAGCCTTCACTATCTCCTCAGTCTATGGCTAATCTAAATTACTTTATGATAGAAGCCAATGGGGTTAATTGAAAGCTATTCAACATGGACTCAGTTTCAAAGAGATTTCTAGGAAATTATTTAGATCGAGGCTTTTCTTGCTCAACCAGTTGCTCTTTGTTGGCTCTTCTCTGCTTTTTTCAGTTGAGGATGAATTTCTAACTCCTTCCATAGAATCTTCCCAAATTAAAAGGAGCAGGAAGAGCATTTGAGATCTTGTTCCCTGCATATGTCATCAGTTTAGCTCAAATAAATTCTTATTTTTTTTTTAAAGAAAGGAAGAACCTCCCATGTCAGCCTTATCCTAAGATGAAGGTAAGGTCTGTGCTCTGTTTTCCTCAAAGTCCCTTAGATTACAGTAGCAGACAGGGGTAGGAGGGCTGCAGAAATCTAAAAAGCAATAGGTGTTCTTAACATAATCACAGATCCTGTGGGAAGGGTTTCCAAGCTTATGGTCAGACTCTGACACTCTATAACTTTAGGGAAATTACCTCTCTGAGTCTCCATTTTGTTTCCTGCAAAAGATCCATTTCATTGGGGTATTTAGAGCATGTAATAAAGGTGGATCTGAAAATGTTTTGGTTGCCAGGTGTGGGGTATTGGAGCCCATACCAGACTGGTGCCCACTTAGTATAGCAGAGTCAGCAAGACAACCCATCTTCTAACCTCCAGTGGCCCCAGTTGAGAGCACTTGGGTTCCTGGTTCCAGACCAGAGATATTATCTTATTAAACTTCTGCTCATCAAGCCCTCTCTCCACCTTTATTCCTGCCTGCTGGCATTCCTTCTAACTGGGCTTGGATGCTGGAGTCCTAGCCTCTGCAGCAAAGAAGGCTCACTTCAGTAGTGCAATGATAGTAGTGCCTGTTATAACAGGCTCCTGTATACTGAGGCCCACTAAGCTGAATCCTGTAGGGCTCCATTATGGTCAGTGTTGTCATAATTAATATCTTCATGAATTTGGCTTTGTTAATTACAAAAAAGTTTAAACAGGGCCAAATTGTTGGCCTCTCAAAATCCTATACCTCCAGAGTTAGGGTAATTGGAACTGAGGTGTTGTGACTTATTCAAATATAAGCTCAGCATTTTCTCTGATGGAACAGTTAGCTGAGCCCAGGCTGGCCAGCTGGCCAGCATGGCAGGAGGGGCAGTTCCAGGTGGTATACTCAGTGAATTTGTCCTCTCTCCCAGATCCCCTCACAGGAAACCAGGAGACCCTATGTGTTCCCAATGTTACCTTGTTGGCCATAAGTTATTTTCCTCAGGCAGTTTGAGGACTACTGCCAGGCTCTTCCTATTGGCTGAGACTATTATTGGATCAGCAGAGTCCTATTTTGGGAGTCAGGAGACTGGAACACTAAAACCATCTGTGTAACCCTAGAAAAATTTCTTTACTTATGTGGACCTTAGTTTCTCCATCTGGCAAATGGAGATTATCATATCTATTTCACTTTCTTCCCAATGTTAGTCAGAAAATGAAAGGAATAAACACATAGCAAATTTAGTAAATAACTTAAATGAAACAATTATTGTGAAAAGGAGGAGCCCTGTGCAAGATGAAAAGATTAAATTTTCTTGGGGAGGAGGCGCTTTACTTTCATAATATCTTCAGAAAAGTCTAAAACTTTCTGTTCACTCAGAAGGAATAAAAGCCAGTTTCCATCCTACCCTCCCCTTAGCCCAATTCTCTCCATTACACCTGCCCTGTATGGGCCACTTTGAAAGAATAAAACAGTTATTCAATCAACAAATGTTTATTGATTATCTACTATTTGCCAAATACTCTTACAGATCTTTATCTGTAAGTCTAGAGGATACATATATGTCTAAGATATGGCCCCTACCCTACAAAAGTTTACAATGTACTTGTGAAATCAAATATACAAACATGAAAATATAACTATGCATCAAAATTGTGAATGATAAGCATCAAGGAAGTGAATTGTACATTGAGGAAGGGGAAGAAAGGGACAGAGTGGTCTGGAGAGGCTCAATGGAGTAGATGGTGCTGAGCAAGTGGTTCAGCATGAGGAAAACTTGGCAAAAGGGATAGGGCTTTCCAGTCTGGAAGAACAGCTTAAACATAGGCAAGGAAGTGGAAAACATGCAAGGCACGCTAGATACAATTGAATGGGCCCTTTCTGCTGGCACTGAGGTTTGGGGAGGTGTACTAGAGTTCTTCGAAAGTTGTGAGCAAAAATGCCTTTGGTTTGTTTATGACTCACACATCCACCCCTACCCCAGGGGAAATGGAGCATTTTCAGGTCTTGGAGCTGGAACCATCTGCTTGGGAACCATTCTGTACTTTCTCACCTCACCTGAAATCCCAGGCAGCAGCTTAGCTATCACTCAGATCAGGGCCATAACACCTTGGGCCTGATTATTCTATGCTGAAGCCCTTGGATGCATTTTAGCAGCTCAGGAGTATCTGGTGAAGGAAGATGTGGGGAATATGAAGGACAATAAGGAGGCCCACCTTGTACTGTGGTCTTTCAGTCTCTGTAGTGTGCTCTATGGTTAGACCCCTGGGTGTCTGATCTCAGCCTTTGAGCTGATTTTCTATTAGGTTTGAAGTCTCTCTGGGAAGCTGACTCTCTCTGGCCCAATAGAAACATCTACTAAAGAAGCACACATGTCCACCTAGCTTCTGATATATCAAAGTCCTTATTCTTTCTTGGGCATGATATCTTTCCAGGAATGATATCTTTCACAGTCCCCATAGCTCCCACACTCTCATCTTCCAGTCAAGGGCCATCTTTAGAAAAATTAATTTCCCATTCTTAATGAAATCATTGTGTGGGGCCCTTAGCCTTGTTATTTAGCAGGAGGCCAGGTCAGGTGCTTCAGAGGGAGGCAGAAACTTCAGTGAAAGTTGGGGCTGCAGCTTCTGAGGCAGTTCCTCAATGGAGTAAGGGTCTGCTGCTGCCTGGAGTGGAGTTTTACATCGTATTTTCTTTCCTTGTTTTCCTCTAGCTGTGGGCTAGATCCCTAACACAGAAGTGTGAGAGAATTCTGTAATTTTTCTGGTCTTTTGGGTCCTCAGCTACCTTCCTTCCCTGTCATCCTGCATCCAGTTGTTCTTTGTTCCCTCTGTACAGTGTGATGGCTCTATTTCTGTTCGTGCACAAATGAGTCTGAGCACTGTGGAGTCATAACAAGACTGGAATGGACTCTCCAGGGCCCATTAGTGGCCAGTCAGCTTATTTGGAGGGAAGCTTCAGGAGGAGGATTTTAACCATCTTCATAAAAGCCACCACTCTTTCTTTTCTCAACCCCCAGCAATGAGCTGAGAGTCAACCTCAGCCAGAGGGTTGGTCTTTGATCACAGAAAGCATCAGTCCATGGGATGTGATCAGTGGGTTTATGAATGGATTACCAGGTAAACCAAAAAGCAAATTGGAGCTATGGAGTCTGGCCTAGAGTAGGGGATGGATTTGGAGTTGAGGGTTGCACGATTCAGGGTGTAGGGTTGGGAACTAAGGTGAAGGAAACAAAAAGACTGATTTGGTAAGCATATTGACAGTTCAACCTGGACACTGTCACACCAGCATTCATTTTTGCATTCTCTTGATCCCATGGCCAAAGTCAGTCTATCCTCAGCACCACCTTCTGACATAATCCAGCAGCAATGTCCCTCACCTGTGGCCCCGAGGGAGGGGGGGCTGTCCACTGGTTTTTACAAACCCAGCCACCACCACCCCCAGCTCTAGCCCCTGGTTCTTCACACATACCCTGTCAGGCTGTAGGAGTTAAACTCATTCTTGACTTTGGGTGGTTGACCAGGTGTTGGAGAGCTCCTAGTGGCGAGGGGCTGGGCCTGGTAGGCATCATAGTAGTTAGGGCGATTTTCCTGGGATGAGCAGGAAAAGGAGAGGATGACTCCAGCTACCAGGGAGAACAGGGAGGAAATAATGCCCAAGTAAAGGGCCTCTCCAATTTCAAATTTCATGCTGTCAGGCACCATTGGGGAGTAGAAGTCCCGCAAGATCCCATGAAGATTCCAAGCAACAGGGATGAAGCTCAGGAGGCCTCCAAGAATGAAGAAGACTCCACCCACTATCGCCACTCTGTCCTTGGCTCGGGAATCCTGGCAGAAGACTGTGCATCTCATGCCCACCACAGAGATAATGCAGGCCAACGAGGAAATTGCACTGGACGTCACCATCATGGCCTGGGCAGCCTGGATGTCGGGGGGCAGGCCTAGAAGGGTGCTGTAGATGTCACACTGGGTGATTCCTGTGCTGTGCGTGGCACACTCCATCCAGAGACCCTTGGAGAAGCCAACTGCCGTCACAATGCTAGCACCAACATAAGAACTTGTTCGCCAGCTGGGGAGCAGCATGGCCACCAGGGTGCCCAACAGTCCCAGAAAGCCCAGGACATAGCCTATAAGTTGGATGCCAAGAGAGGCCATAGCAGACCTCTCAGTAGAAGTGTCTTCAGGGCTTGCCTTCTTGTGTTCTGGCTGCAGCTCTTGCTCCTTGAATTCCAGCCTCTATTTCCTAATTTCAGAGAGTCTCTGCTATGCCTGCTTCTCTTCTCCTTACAAGTGTCTGTGGGTGGCTGCAGTCAGGCTCAAGAAGGCATCTAGAAGACCTAAAAAAAAAAAATCCATAAACCAGATTAAATATTGACCAGAAGCTTATGAGAAACTAGAAAATACCGGGTGCCTTTTGAACTTTGTTATCTTTAGAAATAACGCATGAGAAAGGAAAAAAAAAATTGAAAGTGGAGCCAAAATGTCATCACCTCCTACGTAGGCACATGCTTTAGGTTGGCAGCCAGACAGAATTAGGGGCCAGACAGTTGGCCATTTTCAAGAAGGTGATGATGGCACTGGCAGTTGTGGTGGCTGTGTTAACTCCATGTCTGGCTGTTGGCTGGCGTGGTTCTGTCTCCAAGGCCTTCTGTTTAACACATTGCCCAGCAACAGTGACACAGGGCCCCTCAACTGCAGACTGAGGCCAAACTCCAGGAGACTAGACCAGGAATAACAGGTCCTAAGATACAGCCTTGGACTCCAAGTTATTAGAATCCTCTTGAATCTTCAAGGGCCTAGAAAACAGTGGTTTAGCTCTGGGTCATCCTACCCATGGTGAAAATCTACTCCAGGGCAGGTTGGGGTAGGCAACAAAGTCTTCTGTCTATACTCTAGAGTTCAGGTTCTCCAGGATCTGGCCAAATCCCCCTCCACATGCTAGCCCAGTGGTCAGCAAACTCATTAGTCAACAGAGCCAAATCAACAGTACAATAATTGAAATTTCTCTGGAGAGCCAAATTTTTTAAACTTAAACTTCTTCTAATGCCATTTCTTCAAAATAGACTTGCTCAGGCCATGGTATGTTGTGGAACAGCCACACTCAAGGGGCCAAGAGCCGCATGTGGCTTGTGAGCCAGTTTGCCAACCATGAAGCTAACCTAAGGCTTCCTGCATAAATAATACACTCAGATATTTTCCATCTATTCTCCTAATATATAGCCATATCAGCCCTAGAACTCTCAGATGATGTGGGAGGACTCTGGAGCAAAGTTTGTTCCAGGGCCTGGATGGAACTCTAAAATTCCTTGGGCTCTCTGTTAGGGTGAACAGAGGAAAGGGAAGCCAAATAGAGGGCTTTGTAAGGGGAAAACATCTAAGCCAATCCTTTGGAAACTCAGAGCTGTCCAGGATTTTGCAGTATGGAAGGAGCATCACACCCCTCCTCAAGTAGGTCTTCCATGGATTCCCAAATGGACATTAAATGATATCTCTATTGATCCCTTGTGCTGGACCAAAATCCTGGGAGTGATTCTTGATACCTCTCTTACACTTATCCCTCACTCTCAATGGTTACTGTCTCACCAATTCTACCTTATGGCTATCCCTCAAATCCATAGTACCAGTCTCTCCATCCCCACTGCTACTTTCCTAGTTCAGAGCTGCTTCATCCTCTTTCCTCTGGACTATAGTAATGACTTCCTAACTGGTCTTACTTTCAATCTTGCCCTTCCAATTCATTCTCCACGCTGTTGCTAAGGTGAACTTTCAACACATTAATCTGATCAAGTCACTACTCTACATAAAATGTTCTAGTGGCTCCCATCAGCTAAAGAATAAAGTCCAAACTTATTTGTATTCTATGAGCTCTCAAGCTTCATCTCTTGTCATTTCCCTCCTTATGCTCTATGCTTTAACTAAACTAAAATACTTTCAGTTCCTTAATCAGATCATGTTATCTTTTGCTTACAAACCTGAGCACTGCTGTTCCTTCTATACAGAATGCCTTGCATTCTTCTCCCTCTGTTTAGCGACTTCTCAAGCTTTAGGACTCAACTCAGATATCTCTTACTTTAGACAGGATCAAGTGCCCCTCTTCTATGTTCTTACAATATCTTGTGTTTACTTACCTCCACATAGTAATAATAAAAAGAATAGCTACACTTATATAGTGTTTCCTATGTGACCATTATAAGCCCTTCACAAATGTTAACTCACTTTTTTTCTTTTTTCCCCCAAATAAATCTTTATTGTTCAGATTATTACAGTTTTCCCCCCTTTTCCCGCCATATCTCCCCTCTATCCAATTCCCACCCCCCCTCTGCTCTTATCCCTCCCCCACTGTCCTCATCCATAGGTGTACAATTTTTGTCCAGTCTCTTCTCGATCCTTCACACCCTTTTCCTCCCTGGAGAATTGTCCACTCCCTTTCTATGCCCCTGATCCTATTTATTCACCAGTTTATTATGTACATCAGAGTTCTTATTCACTTGATTTTTACATTCACTTGTTGATAGATATGTATTTTTGTCACTTTGTTATTCATAATTTTTCATCTTTACCTTTTTCTTCTTCCTCCTCTTCTTTTAAAAAAAATATATTTTATTGATTTTGTACAGAGAAGAAGGGAGAGAGATAGTTAGAAACATCGATGAGAGAGAGTCATCAATCAGCTGCCTCTTGCACACCCCCCAGTGGGGATATGCCCGCAACCAAGGCACATGCCCTTGACCGGAATTGAACCCAGGACCTTTCAGTCCCCAAGCCGATGCTCTATCCATTGAGCCAAACCGGTTTCGGCCTCCTCTCCTTTTTAAAAAATATATATATATTATTGATTTTTTTACAGAGAGGAATAGAGAGGGACAGAGAGTTAGAAACATCGATGAGAGAGAATCATAGATCAGCTGCCTCTTGCAAACCCACTACTGGGAATATGCCCGCAACCAAGGTACATGCTCTTGACCAGAATCGAACTTGGGACTTTTCAGTCCACCACTGAGCCAAACCGGTTTCAGCATTCCTCTTCTTCTTAAAGAATACCTTTCAGCATGTTATGTAATACTGGTTTGGCGGTGATTAATTCTTTTAGCTTTTCCTTATCTGTGAAGCTCTTTACCTAACCTTCAATTCTAAATGATAGCTTTGCTGGATAGAGTAATCTTAGTTATTCTTGCTATTCATCACTTTAAATATTTCTTGCCATTCTTTTCTGGCCTGCATAGTTTCTGTTGAGAAATCAGCTGACAGTCATAGGGTACTCCCTTGCAGGTAACTAACTGTTTTTCTCTTGCTGCTTTCAAGATTCTCTCTTTGTCTTTTGCCCTTGGCGTTTTAATTATGATGTGCCTTGGTGTGGTCCTCTTTGGATTCCTCTTGTTTGGGGTTCTCTGTGCTTCCTAGACTAGTAAGTCTATTTCTTTCACCAGGTAGGGGAAGTTTTCTGTCATTATTTCTTCAAATAGGTTTTCAGTATCTTGGTCTCTCTCTTCTTCTGGCACCCCCATAATTCTGATGTTGGTACGCTTGAAGTTGTCCCAGGGGCTTCTTACACTATCTTCATATTTTTGGATTCTCCTTTTCTTTTGCATTTCCAGTTGGGTGTTTTTTGCTTCTTCATATTTCAAATCTTTGGCTTGATTCTTGGGATCCTTTAGTCTACTGTTGGATCTCAGTATATTATTCTTTATTTTAGACAGTGTATGCTTAATTTTTCATTGGTCCTTCTTCATATCCTTGAGGATTTCTCTAAATTTTTTGGAGGTTTCTAGAAGATTCTTGAGTAACCTTATAACCATGATTTAGAACTCTATATCCAGTAGTTTGCTTTCCTCCATTTCTTTCATTTGTGATCTGTTCCTTTGTCTCTGCATTTTGGCTGCTTCCCTGTGTTGATAGAGAGCTTTGTGTGGTAGGTGTCCTATAGGGCCCAGTGGCTCAGCCTCCCTAGTTGCCTGAGCTGGCATTCTTGGTGCATCTCTTTGTGGGCTGTGTGCACAGTCTTGTTATAGTTAAGCCTTGATTGTTGTTGGTATCATTTGGAGGAATTGTCCTCCAGGCCAATTGGCTGTGAGGATCAGTTGTGTCAATGATGGGAGAAACTTCTGTGCCAGAGACAACCTTATGGGGCAAGACTTGCTTCAGTGGGGCTTTGGCGCTCACTGAGACTGACTCCTGAGTGTGTCTTTTATGGATATGAAGAATTATAGTTTGGATGGTCCCTCTCTGACCACTAGGTACACTAGATCTTGTATCTCCAAGGAGAGAGGCCACCCAGCAGAAGCTACAGAGAGATATGCAGATTCCTTCTCTTTGTTTGGGGTTTGGAGGTGCCCAGATGAGGCCCAGCTGTGAAGCAATGCAAGCTTCTGTCTACTCTTGTGTCTTCTTTGGAGGCTCTGGGGCTCTTTGACACAGCTGCAGTTTGTAAGGTTTCAGATTGCAAAGGGCCAGGCCATTCATACGCAAAAGCCTCTGCACACAGCTTGGGTGAGGTTGTAAATTGGGTGGGACTTAGTCTCAGGGAAGCACCAGGGTGGAGCAAGCAGCAATGGCTGACTGTCCTTCCCTGTCTTGAAAAGGTCCCATGTCTCTGTGTCCCAGGGTACCATGCAGAAACAATGATCGCTGCAAGCACCTCTGAGAGAAAGCTGCTCTTGAGTTCCACCCAATGCCAGATAGTCCAGTTTCTCCCCATATGAATCTGGGTCCCCAGATTCTCACCTGAAACGAGTTCAGAGCAGTTGAGAGCTTGTATCTCCCTCCAGATTGAAAAAGACAACAGCATACTCAGTTGCCAGCCCTTTCCGAGCACTTGCCTCTGTACCTCTGCATTTCAGTTCTGCACCTCTGTACCTCCTCAGAGTCCCAGTGTGCTTTTCTCTTTCCTTCTAGTTGTATAAATTCCACTCAGACAACTTTCCCATGGTTCTAGATGATACCTGTTTTGTCTTTTAGTTGTAGTTTTGAAGTGGTTGTGCAAGGCAGCAATTTCAAGTGTTTACCTATGCCGCCATCTTGGTTTCTCTTGTTAACTCAATACCACAATAATGCTTTGTGGTACCCAAATCCCTATTATACAGATGAGGAAACTATAGAAATCCTTATCTCCCCCCCCCTCAGTCTGTAAACTATTTAAAGCCAAGGACTGTATATTA